AAAAAAAAAAAAAAAAAGGGAGAGTAGAGTGGCTGGAGAACAAAAAGGAAAGGAGGCTTTTCACTGAATACCTTTTTAAACCTTTCAAATTTTATACAATGTCAATGTACTACCTATTTTTTAAAATCTGTTCAATAAAAGTACTTTTAAGTGTCAGATACTGCTGGCTTCTAAACCACAGAAAAGGTTACCACTAAAGAAAAGTGGAGTTAATTTTAATGATACTTCACTATAAATCTGGATCTCCTGTTCCAGTTCAGAGCTAGTCACCAACAGTAGCGAACTCTTGCAAGCAATTCAACTGGAGTTTACCCAAACCCTCTATAGTTGACTTATTCTGCTGTATTACTCCATTAAAATTTAAATAGCATTGAAAACAAAAACGTGATACTACAGAAATGACTGTGTCAATTCAAGAAAGAAAAAAATGGAAGGATATTCATGAGCCATAAAATATTAAAGGAGCAATGATCCAAATACATCTTTAAAAATTAGCAAATCAAGTGTATATATATATATATATAATATGTATATACTGCATGTAAAATGCTGTAAATCAACTACACACACACACACACACACACACACTCTCTCTCTCTCTCTCTCTCTCTCTCTGAATGTAAAATGTTGCAAATTCCTTTAAAATGTAAACTGCCATACTGTAAAAATGGGAGAAAGATGTCAAGCACAGTGCATTCTACAACATAACTTAAGCAGCCTGAACTAGAAAATGCAACATGATCTGTTGCTGGACACAATTGCACAATCTCAATTACCCAGAAGATTCTACCAAACAGGAAATTCATGATGTGACTTCAGGAAACACAGCAATCATATTTAAAGATTAACACATCCAAAAGCCTGGAATTTGTTCCAAAACAAAAAACGATTTTACAGGCCCCTTTTCAAATCTTGCACACAACACGAATTACTAAAACACAGAAAAAACTAACAGTTAAATCTGATATTTAGTTTCAGATCCGTAGCTTTCAAATTATACAAAATCTAAAATACAGGGTATAAAACCTTGGAAGTTAGAGGGCAGTTAGTGAAATATTTCAGGTCTGGAAATTATATGATATCGACTTAATTTAAAACACACTCACAGTGTAAATTAAAGCTAAAAAGTATTTCTTCCCTTCCTTTTCTATGTGGTTCCATATCTTTACGAAAACCACCGTGTACCTCAAGCCATACATGTAGATAATTCCCTGCAAACTCTCTGAGGGACTTTTAAACCACAGTATTCGCAGGAATTATCTCAAAAAGAAATTTACAATACCTCCCAGCACTGTTAATAACTTTTTGATCTTGAGGGCACCTTACAGATCTGAATCTTTCTTGCTCCAAATGAGAAAATTGTTTTGTCGAACAATACTTAAATGAGCAGTGGTATGTGACTAATCAGTGAGGCTGCCAGTTTCTCAAGCTGCAGTGTTCTTGCAAGCATTACCACCGCCGCCCCTCCACGGAAAGGAAATACGCTTTCAACTGAATCGGAAACACACCACTCAAGCTGGCACAGTGCTCACTGAGATAAAGTCAGTATTTTAAGCTCTATGGATCGGTGCTAACTCAAGTGCGAATTCAAAAAGAACGCTTCTCAAGATGGGATTTCGACAGAGGTTTGCAAAAAAAGGAGGAAAAAAAAAAGCCCGGAGAGAGCTCCCTTCCTGGTCAGTTTTGTTCAGATGACCGCAGTCTTCGGGTTGGGTTCTGCCCTTCTGCTTCTCCCGGGAGCTCCCCGAGTTTCTCCGCTCAGAGGACAGGCTCCGGCGCCCCAGCGTGGGCGCATCGCGGGAGAGGGTCCTTCTGCTCCAGGTCTGTAGGGAGACCCCTAAGGAAGCAGCCCTTTCTCCGGCGCCTGCCGCCGAACAGCAACCCTCCGAGAGGGGAAGGCGCAGGGTGCTAGACAGAATAGAGCTCCAGCACCACCACCTACCTCTCGCAGCGGACCTGAGTGCTGCACACGGTGGACAGCATACTCGCGAGTGCAAGGCGAGGGGTGCAGGAGGTGCAGAACAGGCAGGGCTCGAAGGGGCAGCAATGCCCTCCCCCGAGGAAAATTCCTGCCACTTGACGCAACGCTGAGCCGTGGGGCAGGCCTGGCCCTCGGGCGCGAGGAGCCACCCTGACCACAGCAGCCCCAGCCAGGCCCGGCGACACTCACCACACAGAGCCATAGGCGCCGGAGCCCACTGGAGACAGGTTCTGGTAACGCTCGGGCACCTCCCAGATTGTCTTGTTCAGCTCCTGCCGGTAGAACGTGGGCCTCTCCTGAGACATTTTCCAGAGGCAGCCGCCAGGCAAGAAGGTGGCCCTGTGGGGCCCCCGCCTGCACCCGCACCCTCTCCCCGGCCCTTGCTGCCCGCCCAACCGGGCGGGGATCTGGCGCTGGTCGCCCGCGCAGGTGCGGCTGCCGCGACCCCGCAGACTCCCGCGCGCGCGGCTGCTGTCAGCCGCAGCGGCTAGATGCGCCTCTGCTACTGGGGCAAGCCCCGCTAAGGGCAGGGACGCGCTCTGGCGCTCAAAGCTGCGCCCGCCGCGATCTCCCTGCACCTTCGCCCCGACAAGGCCGACTCCGGGCTGCGTCGCAGGACTTCTGCTCCAGCTGCGCCCGCTGAGGATCCAGTGGTCCCGGTTCCAGAGCCAGCAAACGGGAGCCTCCCGCGGTACTCTCGCGAGAACAGCTCCCGGGACTCTCCGCGAACCGAGATTTTACCCAATATGGAACCTCTCCGCGGGCGGGGCTTCGTGAGAGGAGAAGATGGGAGGAGCAGTTCTCGCGAGAAGAGAGCAGCAACGGTAGACCAGAGGCAGAAATTCCCAGGGACTGTCTCCTTAAGGGCGCGAAGGCGGACTAGGGAAGAAAGAGATAAGCGGGCAGCACACGCCGCGCGCGCCTCACCGTGGCCGGCGGGGCAAATACCTGACTCTGTAGTGGGAAACGAGATGGACAAATAGCATGTCGGGGAAAGAGCCAAAAGATCTTTAACTGAGAGTAGTTACCAGCAGCTGAGCACCTGCTCAACTGAACCCCCAAATTCCAAAAAACACTTGCATAAAAAAGAGACAAGTTCCGGCCAGAAGGCTGTTGCATTCCCATCTGTTCAAGGACATGTGGTTACTCTTCAAGATGCTCGATGAAATCTGCCCCCAAAGACAAATGTCAACCCTGCATCAAAGCTGAGGCTCTCCATTCAAACTCTCCTAGTAGTTCTTAAACTTACATGAAGAAAAATCACTCTGGGAGTTTAAGATGCAAGTTCCCAGGACTCACAGGGAATCTAATTGGGTAAGTCAGAGGACGGCATCAAGAGCATTATTTTTATAATACATCTTAGGTGGTTCTGATTCAGGAAAGTCTCTGATATCTCCCTTTGAGAAGCATTAAAAAAACCATTACACTGAAGACTTGAAACTGACTCCTATCCTAAAGAGCCATCAGTGAAGAGGATTTTAAGCATTTAACTTAGGCCTCTCGGAGTAAGAATAGAGCAGGAGTCTCATCGAATTTAGGCAAGTCAATTGACCTTTCCTGAACCCTTAGTTCCAGCTTCTGCAAAAGAATTTCTGCCCTGCATTCCCGATGAACAGAGTCATGTGTAAAAACTAAACAAGATAAATGTGAACGGGCAAGGCATTATAACCTGATGCCTACATCCATTATCAACCTACGCCTACGCTAAAGCTTGTTACAATGAGCAGAAGAATCAGATCCTGTCTCATTCTCTTAGTTTCTTGTATTAGAAATAACTGGGTCCAAGCCAGGACATTTCTCATCATTTCCCATGATTATTCTATTTTGTGTCACACACAAAATAGAATAATCGTGTCTGGAGGGCTCAGACTTTGCATATCTTGTCCCAACATCTAGCACAGTGTCTGGAACATAAAACATGTCCCACACGTATTTGCTGAAAAATTATGAAAAATGATCATGATTTCAATTTAAGAGGTGGTACAGGATCCTCAGTCCTCCTCAAGGAAAGCAACAGAAAACCAAAAAACAGAGTCATGGGTGATTCATGGAAAGCTGTTTTGGATCCAATGTAGCTTAGCTGGAATTCTCTTATCTATAAAAACATAATGCTTGAGAATGTTCCAAACTAGAGAGGATAGGAAGCTTTCTAAGATGTAATGGAGGGTGAAGGGGAAGTAAGAGTAAAAACATGACTGTGAAGAAGAGAGGGATGGGGTGGGGGGCATCAAGGAAATGAGGGAATGGTTACAAGGGGTGAGGAGGAAGACTGGAAGTAGGAATCCTCAGAAATGCACATTTTTATCCTACAAATTGGGGTGATGAGGTGAGGGCAAATAAAAGGGTAAAGATAAAGTAAGCAGTATGTTTGTATACTCATTCAACAAATGTGTATTAAATGCCACCGGGTGCCAAGCACTTGTAGTTAAAAAGTAATTTAAAACTACAGTTGCTGCCTGTGTGGGGCTTACAATCAATGGGAGGGCAATCATTCAACACAAATTTGTTGAACACTTCCTATGTCCACCACACTGTTGTGGGCACTGATACAGTTATTGAAAGGGATAAAAATCCCGGCCCTCATGGGGGTAAGACAATTTACAAAAAGGAATACATAAAGTGAATAAGAAGGTAGACACTAACACAATCATCAAACAAACAAGTATAAAACTGTAACCGGGCCAAGCAGGAATACAAGGTGGAGTAAGAGACAGCGATGGGGACAGGGATAGGGTGCCAGGAGGGTAAAGGGAGTGAGTGCAGAGGGCAAGTCTGCGTGCAGAGCCGCGATCTGGGCAGGAGGTTGTCATCCAGTGTGGGGAGCCAGGCTTGTGGGGCAGAGGGCCTATGCTTGGAGACCTGGGTGACCCTCCTAGCCTCTATTTCCCTTTACCTCTTCTGACCTGAGGAAGGCTTAAGTCTTCGGGAGATGTTAGTGAATTACCGTCTGTGCAGTACACTTGTGCGTTACTGTATGTTTAGAGCACGAGGCTGGGCATCAGATAGGCCCTGGATCAGGAATAGTAAAACCTCGGAGAGAGTAGGAGCGTTGGCGTACAGGTAGTGAGGTTTACCAAGTACTGGCTCAGGTATGAGGAGGGCGGCCCAGATACCCCTTTCCTGGCTCCCCAGCCCAGCTGTTCATGCTCTCCTTCCTCGTCCCCTCCCCCACTCTCATCTCCTGCCCACCCGGAACGCCGGCGGGATCGGCCGCAACGGTTCGGGAACCGCCGGTGTCCGCGTCCTCAACGCCGCTAGCTAGGCGGGAGCCGTGTGGGACCCCAGCGCCGCACTCCCGCCCCCGCCAAGGAGCCAGGTGAGCCGCTGCCAGGAGACGCCCGGGCGCCGGGAACTGAAGGCGGTGAGCGGCGAGGCCGAGGCGGGTCCACAGGCAGGGGCTGCGTCCCTCACCAGCAGGTACCCAGGTGTGCTGCAGGGCCAGGCACGTCGCGGGCACTCAGTCAGTATCTGTGGAATTAATGAATGAATGAATGACGGTCGTCCCTGGGAGCTTGTCTCTCAGGTATCGTCTCTACTTTCAAAGGCCGTGTGGATGGCAATGACAAGAGACCGTGTGCGCGTTTTGCAAGCTGCGTCCTTTCAAATTCTATTTATGTTGTCAAAAGCCCCAGAACTGATGTGCTGCCTGCACCCCACCGCCTACCCCATCCATTTCCTCCCGAGGCCTGACTGCCCAGCCGTTCCTCCTTCTTTCAGACCTGGCTGCTTTTGTTCATTTCGTTCCCTGCGACTGAATCCCCACCCCCGCCTCCTTGCCCCTTTCTTTTCCTGTCAAATGCCATTTATGCGTCAGGGGCCCCTTCTGAAGTAGGTGCCTTCTCCAGCACCGCCACCCCAATAATGAGCATCTCTCCAACACACCCTGTTACTCTCTCCACGTCGCATGGAGGTGGTTGTCCAATGTTTGTGTGTCCAGTGGTCTCCGCTTAAGGACTGTCATCTTATTAGTCATCCCCAGCCACTAACCAGTGACTGAAGTATCTAAAGGCCAGGTTCTCTGCTCATACCTTTTCTGCACCCCCGATACATTCTCCATAAAAACATAGGTACTAACGGGCTTAGGGTTGTTTGTGATGGAATTACAAATGCTTATTTTGAAATTTTCGAAGTGAATTTCACCTTTCCATGATTATGGAAAACATAAGAAGGCCGAGCGCAGTGGCTCACGCCTGTAATCCCAGCACTTTGGGAGGCTGAGACAGGCGGATCACCAGGAATTCAAGACCAGCCTGGCCAACATACTGAAACCCCGTCTCTACTAAAAATACAAAAAAAAAATTGGCTGGATGTGGTGGTGGGCGCCTGTAATCCCAGCTACTTCTGGAGGATGAGGCAGGAGAATCCCTTGAACCCGAGAGGCAGAGGTTGCAGTGAGCTGAGTTTGTGCTGTTGCACTCCAGCCTGGGAGACAACAGCTAAACTCTGTCTCAGAGAAAAAGAAAAAGTAAAAGAGAGAGAGAGAAAATGAAAGCATGAAAGTTAACAATATGGGGGGGGGGGCTGTGGTGGGGAAGATATTCCTGCAACTAAACTAGTTTTCAGGATTTCATATCATTTGGGTCAATAGCCAAAAAATTAGATTGTATTTAAACTTTTTATTCTTGACTTTTTTTTTTTTTTTTTTTTTTTTTTT